GAGCTTTCTGGAAAAAGAACGTTAATTAATTAACTTTGTGCTTAATTTCCCTTACTCGCCGTTTTGGGCGTCCTGGTGCCATCTTCAAATCTAATCGTTTGTGTATTTCCAACGGTCGGGGAACTCGCCTGGGTGCTACAGATGGATTTGGCTTTTAAGCAATTACTTCCTTCGAATTCGATTCGTTCGACATTGCCATCGGCGTGTCTCGTTACCGATTTTCCCCTCAAGACATGGCAACCGCTGCTTCCGATGTCTTGAAGGGTGAGTAAGATTTGTATCTCTTTCTCAAGATCTTCGAGCCTTTTGGTTATGCTCTAGAAGGAAAATGATTGCTGGCGGTGTGCAACGATCGGCACCTTACCTGAGACATACTAGTTGCGAGAAATTTTGTAATTAGCTGGGTCTACTCAATTTGCGCGCTTCATTTTTCGAAATTTTGCCATTGGACCCGGAATTGACATTCTGAAATTATTTGACACACGCGGGTTTTTCTGATGCTTAATCAGTAGGTACCGTAGCTGAGGTAACTGCAGAGGTTGCATTTTTGCGCCAAAATACAGGGGGGCCTATCACCAATGATGACCTGGTTTCTTTCATCAATAATTATAGTCAACATATTTCGCTATACGTTAAGCATCTTTAGAAGTCTTCATCAATAAAGGTTTTCCGAAGATCTTTTAGATGTTGCAGAAATATGAGAAATTTATAAAATGTTTATTTATTCTTGCTAAATTCTTCAGAAAGTCCGCGAATGTCCTCGCGGCTTGATCCTAATTTTTCACAAAGTATAAAACCACCCCCTCTAATTTACAGGTAGTCGAGTTAACTTTTCCGGACAGCTCAACGTGAACGCTCTCACAGTTCACGACGCGAATTTCCTCGCGGCCATTCCCATTACTTTACTTTTGTAAATCACGCCCATTACGTTACTCGACCAATAAAACTCATTTTGTAAATCCAATCAGAACACTTGAGTGGAGTAAAATCCTTCTGAATCAGTGCACAACTTACCAAGCTTGATAACAACAAATGTCACCCGGGCAAAAATGTCCCTGTCGTCATCTCCCAAGACTTCTCGACGCTTTCACATGTGTGTAAAAAGTCAGGACCGTACTACTATCGTCACAATCGAAACATAACGATTTGTTCGCCCTTGGGGAGTACCCTCCTGCGATACTCCGTTCTGCAGGAACTATGCGATCAAAAATGAGTTACTGTCGAGTCACCTTTTGAATTTTTGTTTACATGGGAAATCGTATTTAACTTGAACTTCCAAAGGCGAGTCATTTTTGATCGCCCGTTATTTGCACTAAAAGTTTTTCGTACTTTTTCGATCAGACTTCTCAATCAAAAGTTATAGACTACAAACCATTTTCGAAAGAAAATTCAAAGGGCTGTAACTTATATACTTTCGGTGCTCAAAAAAAGGCAGTGTATAACCTTCCTTTTTTACCAAAAATTGACTGCACCAAAATTTCTCGGGAAAACACTTTTTCTTATTAATTTGAGTGCGTTGAATCCAAAACGATTCGTACTTTTTCGGTCAGACTTCTCAATCAAAAGTCCAATCCGAATCCAATCCAAAATGATGCGGTTTCTACTCAGTAATATCGATGTAGAAGACACAACCAGGTAGGTAATAATGAAGAAGAGTAAAAAATGATTATTGAAAGCCAAAGGCAATGCGCAATTCTTGTTACATACCGAAAACGGCCTTAGAACTTGTAAAATATATCCGCAAAATAGCGTCAGCGAAGTATCGAAAGCAAAATAGCAAGAGAAACACTGCACTAAACTTATAGCGCCAATAACAAAAGGCAGACAAAAATTCGTCGAGTAGTACAATGGCGCGTATGTTCTTACGAGTAATGGCATAGAATCAAGTTTTGTACAAAGAAGTGCGTGCGCCGACAGAATTAAAGAGAACTCTGCACGACCTCCATTGGCGAAACAAAGAAGGAATATTAATCGGTAAGAAACTAACGGGACAATTTTTTGCAAACGTCCTAATCATCCTTTGTGAGTACTCCCCTCCGACAATCTGTTCTTAAGATAAAAGAATGGTATCAGATCACGATAAGGGGTAAAGGAGGAGAACTAGGGTTGGTACGAATTTCTTTCGTCAAGTGCTTTCATTAGAGTATCATGAAGGATAAAACGAGCCCCCCCCCCCCCTAAACCCGTTCAATTTGGATAAGTGGTAAAAGAGAAGGGCGGCAGTTGATAGAAAATAGTTTCTTGCGTTGAGACCTTTAATTGGAGTATCGTGAAAATTAAAACCACATTCCGCCCCCCCCCCCACCCCGCGACCTCATTTTCCTCAAAGAAATCGCGGAAGGCAGATATAGTTTGTAGAAACGGCGATGAGACCTTTCATTAGAATACAAAGTTTTAGATGGCACCACTAAAGCCATGCTTATGCAAGATCTGAGACAAATTGTTTTGCCCTCTGCGGTAGGGTTATTCTTTCCCGCCCCTTACACTGGTACATTCCAGAAGCACATACCACGAAATACAACATATAATCTCAATTAGTACAATTCGAACCAAATAGAATCTGACAACGGGTTCCCGTTACAGCATGCTTTGCATACACAGATGGTTGAAATGAATTAATAAATTACATTATAATACAATATAAAGAACGTTTTGTTATGGACAATTTCCATTATAAATAATCATGATAGATCCATGAATTTTGAGATTTCCTACGTTAAACTTGGAACAAATGAAGTTTAGAAACAAATGTTTTTATCAAAACCAATTTTCATGCGTTCAGAAACGATAAAAATACTTGCAAAACAAACTAATTCTACAAACACTTTAAGCAGTCATAAATTATGACTTCTTATAGATATTTAACCACTCAATTGACATAATAAATAAATGGTTATCACGGTACCTCAGAATTGTCTCGTAGCTAAAGCTGGTGAAACCATAATAAGGTCGGAACCGCCTCCTTACAAATGATACCGAGAAGAAATTCTGAAGCTGGAGATTAGAACCTTCCGACGGTAAAAAATCGTTAGAGAAATTAAAGGTTCTAGTGTGTAGTTTATTAGAACAGTTAATTTCTCTGTTCATGGATTGCAAGCGTGTGAGAACCGCGAACGTTTGGTCATTAATGGGCTTTAGAAACGAGTGTGAACACTATTTATTCGCAAAAAGTACGTTTTTTCGGTTATACTTTTTCAAATGCGAGCTTCTGTACTGTTTTCGGAGTTACTCTTTCGAACAATCAAGTTTAATCCCCTTTTGTACACTAATGGCGACAGATGTACTTTTTTTGCAGCGGAAATTGACTCAGTGCGCTTAATTAATCTGTCCCTGACCGAATACGACTCCAATTTATGCGATGAAAACGTTCTCTAGTTGCATCAATAATTCGTTTTCTGTGGTTATAAATAACACAGCCTCTTAATCCGCTTTTAGATATTAATTGATTCTACTGGAAACTCGCGGAACTTGCTTTCAATTTATATTATTAACAATTAATTAACAATTGAACTATTGTTCGCACTCGAATTTTCTAAGTTGAAGTTTTATTATAACCGAAAAACACTGACCTTCGCCCTTGATGAATTCCGCGCTAATTTACTTAACGACGAAAACTACCCTACCCTACCGGAATTATATTTTATTTTCAAATGTACGGTTAAGGCCCGTTGCACACGTTCGGTTTTTAAAGATACGCATTCACGCAGCGGCGCCGCCGCCGTACTTTTAAAATCCGGGCGTGCGTACAGGACCTAAACGTTCCTTGCTTTGACGCGAAATAATCAAAATTTTGAATTGGAAATTAATTAGTCGCACTTTGTGCCCACGTTGGGGCGGAAATGCACCATTTCTATAAAATAGAAAATATATCCGCATTGGGAGTTTTAACCCTACCAGCGTGTACTTTTGGTTAAGACCTTTCACTTTCCCTTTGTGAGTGCTACACTATGTTTATGAAATATTCGCATATGAAATTATTACTACAACGAACGTGTTCCATTCTGCTTGTTTAACTATAAGATGCGTTGATGCACTAAAAATAACACTATCTAGTGTAATTATGTATTTGATTCTTTTAGCAATAGAATCGTTAAATTGGTAGGTAGTCACTATTGGTCAATTAACATAATCTTTTTGACAAATATTAAGTATCCATCGCCGGAGTGTAATTCATACTGTCATTGATATGGGTGCAAAAGGTCATCGTTTTATGGAACCACATTTTAGACCTATAGCGATAGAGTTTCAATGTCTTCAATCTTCCATTTATTGTTGTTCGTTGCGCACTTGCTGAAGTCATCTTAACAGTCAACAACCTTGTGTAGGTGACTCACTTAAAAAGCAAAAACAGGTACATTTTGATCATTTAATTAACACGAAGAGGCTTTATGGATATATCGTTTCCGCATCTTAATTAATATTAGCCTTGGAGTATGATGACATGATAACGGGTCACGATGTTTCGTATATTCTTCTTTTGAGCTCATCCCAAGTTTGTTATGACTGAGATGAATAATTGAAATCAGAATTGTTAGAAGACCTCCTTCTGGGGCCAGGGCTTTTGGTGTTCTGGGGGAAAGTGAGGCAAAAGCGGAATAATTCAACTGACAATATCATTAATTAGTAATGCCAGAGTTACAACACAGAGCACAATTTCGGCCTTCGCCATCGTTACCTAATTAACATGGCGCAGATATCAAAGTCTCTTCCTGTGAGAAACGCACTGAACTTTGTATACATTTCGCTCTCTACTTTTTTTTCAATAAGATAATAAATAGCAAACCAGCCTTGTACCGTTCCCGTAATTACTTAATCGTTATTTACGTATCAAGGGCGTAAACCGAGCGTCTTGGGTCTCGCCATGGATATCATTGTCCAGCCGACTCGATTTCTCACCTCATCGCACGGTGGAGAATTAGGCAACGGCCTCGGAAACTGAAGAAGAAGGAATAATACCTCATTAGAACAAAATTAAGTGGTCCCAATTCCAGAAGCGTGCATGTGTTCAATTCGCCTATAATAACATAAATTAATAAAATTACGACATCCCGCAAGGACACTACTCACAATGTTTATGAAAGGTGTAATTGCTGTAAACATATGTCGGAGTAATTAATCAGCATAAATTATATACGTACAACCCTCTCCCAATTCGGGGCGTTTGTAAAAGTGTCACTTTCGGCGGCGGATTTTTAGTAGCGTGTGTCATCGAAAACCGTTGAGATCCCGATCCTGCCTGTTTATATATTGAGGTGATTTCACAATTTCATCAGTCGTATGTGTCACGCGAAGCGAAAATGTGGAAATTGTCGATTGTTGTAATTTTGCACGTCCATTGGGCGTTGAGCGATCTTTATCCTGGACGTCCGCTGTACATCAAGAGCTACCCTGGGATTCCCAACATCCAGAGTGATCTATACGAAGTGTACCAAGAGCCGTACGTTTACGTAAGTTTGCCAGAGTTATTGCTTCCGTTTGACCAATTTTGTAGAATGTGAATATTATTGGAGCCGTTGCGGTTCTCCAAGGCGAGGGGGAGAGCAGCGTGAAGGGTGAAATCACGTTCACGCAAAGGCAACCACCGGTCGGTCCCGTGCTGGTTAGAGGAAACATAACGGGGTTGAAACCTGGAAAACACGGTTTCCACATATACCAATCGGGCGATCTTCGGCACGGCTGCGAGAAACTAGGCAATCACTTCAACCCCTTCTTGGTAAGTTTGCCTTGCTTCGGCCCTTTTTTTTGAGCCATTTTTCAGTTACAGCACGGTGACCGAAGGGACTCCCTAAGACATGTGGGCGATCTGGGAAACATCGAGGCGAAAGATGATGGAAGTGTGGAAGTCGAGTTTGTTGATTCTCTACTGTCGCTGGTTGGTGGTGGCAGGAGTGTTGTTGGAAGGGCACTCGTGATAGCGGAGAATGAAGATGATCTGGGTCGCGGTGGGACTGCCGAAAGTGTGTCAACGGGAAACTCTGGGAAACCAATAGCCTGTGCCGTAATTGCCTACACGTAGCTCTCTTAACGATCATTTAATTGTACATAAGTTTGTTATATTAAAATCCGTGTTTTTTACTTGAATGTTGTTTCTGTCAAATTTTAACTTGTCAATAATGAGAAGGATTGAAGGTTGTAGCTGACGAAATTGTGGGTTATTTTATTATGTTCACTTACAATTTCAAGGATTCTAATTTCTAATTTAGTTTGAAAGTTTGCTTGAATCAAAAACAGATCACATTCACGGGGTGTGACCAGATCGCCGAATTCCGCTCAATAATCGGCAATTGTTGTAGTTATGCAATAGTTAATTGCCATATTTCCTACTAACACAATCTGTGATCTTGAGGGATTGACAAGGAACGTGAATCTATTTTAATTTCGCGGCAACATCACATTCTAAGCTGAAGATCTTTTACCGAAATGTCCAATCCGAAATTTCAGATGTCCAGTAAAAACTAACCGAAAATAGAAAGATATTTTGTTGCACAGGAGTCATTACCATAATGAATTTTTTACCAAAGTCCACATTCACAGTAAAGATCAGCTTAAAACATGGACTTTTTCCAAAATTTCAAATCAATAACATTCTCCGAAAGCAGAGGAAAGGAAGGATGAACGTAAAGTGTTCACAATAATCACTTTTGGGAAAATTCATTTCTAATTAATCCTAGTTTTCTTTTAATAACGTTCCCATAGATAAATTGTCACTCAAGTGCGCTACTACACTAATTCTCATTAATAGGAAAATATTCATATATAATACCATGAGTAGTCGAAGTATTGCCGATAATTTTTGAGGTGCTGTCACGAATGCTAGTTATGCTGATTAATAGTATTAAAAAGCGTAACTAGCATGAGTGGAGCAGCAACTCAAAAATAATCTACCAATACTACAACTACGAATGGTATTCGAAGGACTATTCAAAGAATCGAAAACCTGAACCTGGATGGCGGTGAAGACCTTCGGCAGCCTACGAGACCACCAAAGCCAGCTGGTAAAGGAACTGGGTACATATGAGAAGACCAACCGATGAGGCACAAGCGCATGAAGATCGTGCTTTTCGACGCGGGATAAGAACAATAAGGCCCCTTGAGACATCCTCGAAGCTTAGACGTTTTTACAGTTTGAGATATATATCATTGTTATTGTTTTAGATATCGGCATTTTATTATTGTAATTAATAATATATTGCATACGGGCAAAATGCAAAAGCCACTTCAGATAAGGGAAAAAAGGGCTACGCCCCAGATTTCCATTTCCATTTGAAATGAAATTTCATGTCTATAATGACTCCTGTCATCACTGGCAGATTGATTCTAATCAAAAGTTCTATATGAAAATTTTATCTTAAAATACACTTTCGGATAAAATTTAATACAACACTCATCCGAAAAATAACATTACTTCACTCGGAGAGTAAAGTACTCGGCCCCAAGGGGGCTTCGTACTTGAATATTTCCTCACTAGTAATATGTCATTTTCCCTTGCACTATCTCTCTCGGCGCGCTACCTTTCTATGGCAGAGACCGACAGTGCGCGTTCCAGTTTAATTATAGTTCAGTGATATATGGGTTATTAATTTAAAAATTTCTGTACATGACTTTACTGCAAATTTAGGAAATTGTCTTAGAGCAGATTTTTTTGAAATTCTAGAAATTAACATCCTCTTAGAGCTCCTAAAAATCCTCTTCCTAGGAATAATGTTAGGGGTATAGTATTAATTAAACATTTTGTGCGGGGGAGGGGGGTCGACTCTGGCAGAAGTAGAGGTCAACGGTCTGTTCTACATTAAAAGAATGCACTAAAAATGTTACGAATTTATAAGCTAGATCGTTGTGGCATTTTATTCACAGTAAATTTAAATAAAAGGAGGCTACGAATTTTTCTCCTGCGATTACAAAATTCTCATTCTGATCTCCTGATCGCTAGGGGAACACCTTACATATGCTCGTGATGCATGGAGGTTTCGGAAAGTAAGCAGTAAGTAGACCACTGCTCTCCCCGGTGACACTCCTTTGCCTCCATTTTATATTTTTGTGAGTTTCAATCTTTGTTTTTGAAATTGACTTGATTTAACCTTAATGCAGAATCACATATTTGATACCGTTATCCTCTTGTGTGTAATCGTTTTTGGTGTAAGGCTTGCTTAATTTATATGTTTATGTTTTGATTACACGATGTTGACCAGAAGTAACATTCATATAAATTTTGATCATTTTATTTTAATATGTGGAAATTACTGAGTTCTTTGTGTGTGCACATACTTGTTGTTTGTAACTAACATTTTCTCCGTGAATGAAGCAGTCCCGGGGGTGGCAAAAAACTGTAATCAAATTGAGCTACGACACCTAATTCCGTGATTGTCTTCGACATTCGAACGAGGGGCAAGTTATCTTGCCAATTTGCCTACAAGGCCATGTAATTTTCCACTTTTCCCTTAACAAAAGGACTTTATTACACCAAAGATGAGTCACATCCTGTACCCTTCACCCTTTCTCAGAATTTAGGTACCTGCTTACCTGACCCATTGTTCCCAAAATGTGTTATAATCTTGGGTGTAACCAACTAGGTGTATATGCATTTACTATATTTGTTAACCACTACTGAAACTTGATAATTTCACAAATTATTTTGTCAACTAACTTTCGAACTGTATTAATCAAACTGCGAGGTTTTTCTTCGTCGTACTCTTTTTACCCTTGGTAGTTACTTTTGCGAGAGTAACGGCACATTTGGGCTTGGTTTACATTAATGTACATCAACTAAATATCTGGGCTTTCACAATCCTAATAATAACGACCATTATTATACAAACTTTTCACAATTTCAGTGTTTTATTTTACGTTCCTTCCCTAGTGTACTTCAGGTCATAGCGTTGTTTACAACTAACGTAAGGTGGCACTGCCTTTTTATCACGTGTCTCCTTTCAAATTTAAGTGGGATCTTGTGTTATTTTTGTAGAGAAACATCGTTCGGGGGCCCATTTTTAAACGTTGCCGGGTTTACTTAATTTCCGTGTTGTGAAATTAACGTAGAACATGGGGACTGAGCACACTACAAAATAATATTACATTTCTTAGCTCAGTGCGATACAACCACCGAGTTGAGAACTGCATGATCTGCAGTTGTTTGAGTTACGTCGGATTGATTAACGACTTTAAAGTCATTTGGGATTGGTAGTAGCAAAATACATTAACCAATAAACAATTAGACATGGCTGTCGGGATTAACCATCCGCCATTTTATAGGTTCGAACTAATCTATTCAGAGTGTAGAAGGGGTTAGTTGAGAGAGATTCAAGAGACTCGCGGCTTCACGTCTTGGCATTACAATCGTGGTCCATATAACAATTTGAATTCGCGATATAGAAGCGACCAGAAGGTCCAATGGTCCATGGTGTAATTTGTATCGTTCTAATACTTCCATAATACTCCCTTTTTAAAGATAAAGTGAAAAAGATGAATGTGCATTCTAATGACATCTGTCATTCCTATTTCAAATGTCACGCGAAGCACGATATAAAGTGACGTTCAGAACATATGACAATGCTGTTTATTTATTTATTTATTCTATTAATGGCTCACCTTGCATGGTGTATATTACCTCTATTCTTACACTATGATAGTACATTACATGCTGGAGGAAAAAGTTCTACGTAAGTGTCGAAAGCAGATAGGAATAAATTTAAGCAATGCTCTAGCCTAATCTGATGCCTAGCTTGTTATCTTTTGTACAGAATTTGTTATCGGAGTAAAATCTCGCCCCTGAATTGTTGGTCGGTATACAACACATTCTACACTTCTGTACAACAACGCGTGCGTTACTTTCTCCTACGAAACAGCGTTTAAGTTTATTACCAGTCAAATAAAAGATGGAAAAATACAATATGTCCTTATCATTAAGCTAATAGACATTTTTCGCAATAAAGTTGGACTTGAATAAGTCGTAGTAATTGTTTATTCTGTTCATCCGCCCCTGTGCATTTAACTGTAAAGCCATAAAAACAGACCTTGATCTTCATTTTGAGAGGTGGAACCTACTCTGGGTACCAATTAATAAATTGTTTATGTATGTAACGGTACCGGTAGGTAAGTGGGAAAAGTTTGCTTTAGTTTCGCAAGTTTTAAAGGTGAGTCCCATTCATATTTATTTTCTTATTGCGTATTTGGGTGAGTAAATAATGTTTACTCGCTAAATTAAATTTGTGATAATTAGTTTTATTGATCCATGGGTAAGATAACCAGTGGCGTTACGATTTTTTTAATCCAACCGTAATAAAGTATACTCTGCACATATGTAACATATACGAAATACGTTTTCAAATGATAGATCGTTTGCAGATACAAGTGCTGTCACAAGTTGTTACTGGTTTATAGTTGTTTACAGGTATGAAGCAAGCTATTTTTTATCAGTGGGATTTTGGAAAACGAACGAATTACTGTTAATTATCTACTTATGAAAGTAAAACGTTTCGTAACATACTCAAGTGTCAGACTAATCCCTAAAGGTGCCGTTAGTGCGACAGAGATTTGGGTAATATGTTGTTGGATGATTTTAAGAGTGGGGTCTTTTCTGTTTATGGGGATTTCCTGTCACGGCTTTTAGATCTTGTGACCGCACTCGACCGATAACAGAAATCTCCAATTCGTCAAATCCAAATTTCTGTCGCACTAAAGACACCGTAAGCGGACAGTAATGTCAGTGGGGAGAGTTTTACCAGTTCTACCATTGAATAATTGAATGGTTCTACTATAGGACTTCAGTAGTTTATATTTAAAAAGCTACTCAACCGATATGTGTGATTGAATAATGAATAATCACCTATTTCGATATGCATGTTCGTAAAAATACTGGCGCATATTTATTTATTGATCACTTCGAAATCCTGTTAAGACTGAGACTAAACAGAATTCAATTTACTTATATGGCAAGCAATAAACCTTCTCGTTAAATCTAAAAATCACAGAAAGTATGAGTAACATCCGCTATTATTCCTTATCGCCGATGACTTGACCGGCTTGATGGCGCTTTGATAGTGTTCTAGAAATTTCGTTACAATATCTTTTTCGAGATCATCATGCCAATCGCCCTTTGTGAGTACCCCCTCTCGGACAATCTGTTATTGAGATATAAGGAAATATATCCGAACACGATAAAGGGTCGAGGAGGAGGACTATGGTCGGTAGAAATTAATTCCTCTCGTTGAGACCTTTCATTAGAGTACCATGAAGGATAAATCAGCCCCCCCCCCAATTCCCCCTCTTTTAATAAGGTCTCAGAAAGAAGTGCGGTGGTTGGTAGAAAATATGAAGGATCAAATTAACGCCCCCCCCCCCCCCCCGGCCTGCCCGTCAGCCAGTGATCTTGAAAAGGAGTCGCGTGAGACAGTTGTAGTTTGTACATACCAATTCATTCCAATGGTCTTTTCATTTAGAATAACCATCAAGGTTAGAACGTGCCCCCCCCCCCCCCACCATTTTCAATCATTTTACTTGGCGCCACTAAAGACATGCTTATGCAAAATCGCCACCACCCCTTCCCACAGCGCAATTTGATGGTCGTCTGGTACACCGTCAAGGCATAGGCATAAGTTCAACAGACAGATGGACGGACAAAACGCAAACAATTGCACATTTTTGTTTTGTGAAAACAACAACGGAAACATGATACACACACTCGTGACAACGGCGCCAAAACCGATAACCCTTTTAGCGCTTTTTTTACAGAAATAAAAGTGCTATTTTTTTGCGTTTTGACCGCCCTTCCGTCCGGACCCACGTCTGCCGTGTTGAACTACTTTTAGAGCAAGGGTGTTCCAGACGGCCATCAAAATTTTGTTGTCTTAATTCCCCCTATGAGATACTCTTTTTGAAAGTAAAACGTGCATAACTTTTACATGCGACAACCAGTTGGTTTCAGATTTTGCATACACACCTATACCTTGAAAGTGTGCCATATTTTGTTGTTTTACGCCCCCCCCCCCGTATGCATGCCTTTATGTGGTGTCAAGTAAAACTTTTGAAAATGAGGGACATGCGTTTTACTCTTCATCGCATTCCAATAAAAGGTCTCATGGAAGTAAATTGGTTTGTTCAAACTATAACTAAAGAGGGGGGGGGGGGTGAGAAATGAATTTTATCTTTCATGATATTGTAATGTAATCAAAGGTCTCAACAAAAGGACATGTTAACTACCAACAAAGAGTCTTTGCTACCAACTACCGCCCTTCTTTCTGACGCCGTATCATAAGACGCTGTTGGGAGAGAGGGAGGGGGGGGGGCTGGTTTTATCCTTCATGGTACTCTAATGAAAGGTTTAAAAGGAATTCATTTCTACCTACCCGTATCGGATCGGTTATCCTTATACCTCAAGAGCGGATTGTCGGAGGAAAAAAAAAAGATTAGGGCGTCTGGAAGAAATATATCCATTGGTGATGTCAAAACTTTAAAAACCAATCGCTCGAAAACAGTTTTTCGGAGGAGAGTACTCACAAAGGCAAAATTAATCGCCTAGGCGAGACATATTTATTGGGGACGTCACTCTAAGCGAATACCTTAAAACAAACTGTCAGAACAGGGTGCTTACTCATAAAAGGCAAGTGAGACGTCTGTAACGGGACATATCTACTGGTGATTTCAACACTTTCAGTACAAATATCTGTAGAACCATTGAATAAAAAAATTTTTATTCAATGGCAGAACGGAGTGTCGGAGGCGGGTACTCTCAAAGGGTGGAAAGATGGTCTAAACAAGACACAGTATCGGATATGCACAGGTGGCGCTAGAAGCGGAGAGGTGCTTTTGATTAGCTGACTCTTACTGCACGCAGTGCGCTTTCGGTAGTAGAAATATTCTTTCCCCGTTCTCACACAAGGTTGGAGTGAGGACTAAATAACGGGCGATCAAAAAAGGATTCACATCGAGTCGCCTTTGGAAGTTCAACTTAAGTACGATTTTTCATGTAGACAAAAATTCCAAAGGTGACTCTTTTTTTATCGCATTGTATATGAAACCTTCAATTTTTTAGCACATTTTCCAACTCATGTACTATGCGATCAAAAATGAGGTGCTGTCGAGTCGCCTTTGGAATTTTTGTTTACATGGAAAATCGTCTTAAACTTCCAAAGGCGACTCGACAGCAACTCATTTTTGATCGCCCGTTAGAAAGGCGCTATTATTGCCACTTTCTCCATCTGTCCGTCCGAGGCCTTAACTACTCCTACAGTTTTCAAAATATTTAGTTGGTTCTTTTTGCATTCTGGCACCTCAACAAAGAAAAATCTTGACGTTAATTTGCGCTGCGCAATGCCATCCTCCTTATTTATGGAGATATTTTTTTGAAATTTTGACCACAGATGCTTCTAGCAAAGACAAGCATATCGCATATTGTAAAAATTAGACAAAGAAGCATCTTTCTCCAACAAAACCATGTCAGTCCTCGCAATAGTAGTACATTTAGGAAGCCCCATTTTTCTAAAAAAATGCCAATAGACTTCTTCTTCTTCTTTACGAAGACTTTCAAGATAATGTTATAACATTAAGTAGGTAATTTTTTGTTTTTGTAAGAGATCCTAACTTATAAATTATCTCTATAAAACAATAAAGTTAGCTTTCCGGGGGCTAAGTAAACAGAGAGACAAATGGAAGAAAATTATGTAAGTATTTGATAGTCCAAAATAATGCGTTCAACCGTTTACGCAGCGAAATTGAGTTACAAAATTTAAACCTGCGCGTTTTAACCAATTTTGATTGATTGTTGTATGTTTGGTTGTCTACCACAGCATTGCTAATTTCGAAATAAATTATTTTATGTGAATCCCCTTTGAAAGTGATTTTGGGGGATGTTTCTTAAACAGCATTATCTATTTTCAGTAGTTAATCTAGAGATAAGCATGTTATTAATTTAAAAAGTTATTATGAGCGCCTTGAGCAAATGAGCATATATGCGATACGCTTATCATATGTGGGAACTAATTCGATAATTTCGTTCGTTTTGCGAAACCCACACCTCTGCTAGTACGTAAACAACCTGCGACTGGTTGTACTTGAAGACCCGCACGTCATCATATAAAGAGACATTTGAGGAGTTCTGCAAGTCAAATAATCAGCTTGCTTTTTAGTGTTAACAATCTCACTTTCACCGCTGCGATGTTCCGCATTTTCGTTTTGTGCGCGTTGTTCGCAATCGTTCGCGCTGGAGGAGTAGTAAGTGCCGTCGTTATTAAGGCCGTTCCCGTTTTAATTTTGCATTTTCTCAGTCGAAGGCGACCGTCAAGATACAGGGCGATACAGTTTCGGGTACCGTCACGTTTACTCAGCAGGGCGCGACAGTTCTAATTCAGGGGGAAATCAGTGGTTTGTCACCAGGAAAACACGGTTTTCACATCCACGACAAAGGGGATTTGTCGAACGGATGCACTTCCGCTGGACCCCATTTTAATCCTTACAAGGTAAGTACGCTCATTGCGCGCGATATTGTGTTAATTGCATTAATAACAGAAAAACCATGGGGCGCCTTCGGCACAAGATCGTCACGTTGGCGATTTAGGAAACGTCGTCGCCGGGCCCGACGGCGTCGCCCGCATTGATTTCACCGACGGCCTCATTAGTTTAGGTGGAGAACGGTGCATAATTGGACGAGCCCTTGTCATACACCAGGGCGAAGACGATTTGGGCAAGGGTGGAAACGAGGAATCGCTCAAAACTGGTAACGCCGGAGGGCGGCTCGGCTGCGGAGTTATTGGAATCTTGTAAATACTTTCTCTTGTGTACTTTCTCCATTAGATTTTGATAAGTTGTTAGTAATAAATCTCCAAAAGTTGAAACAATATGATGGTGATTTGGTTTTTTCCCGTATAGATAATTGTCGGAATCGCTGATGTATCTTAACCTTACCTAAATGTAGTTGTAGAAGACCAGGTCATGGTCGAAGAATAAGAGGGGAAACCCAGAACGAAATGGAAAGGAAATTGACCTTCAGACTTTATTCTTCCAAATGCTCCATGTGTCCAACACCCCAGCTCAAATTTGCAAACGTAATTGTGTTGCAGAAGGTTACCTACACATTGTAACCTAGTTAATAGTCAGCATTTTGAAATTATATAACAACAAATTGTTTATATGTCGATATTATGGTCAAAGCATTTAATGGGGACATTATTTCATAATTACTGGGTCGTGAATTGGCGAAAGCCAACAATAATGGTACCTGTTTTGAATCAAACCAAATTTCGTTTCGGACTTACGTTTCCAAAGGGCTTTATAACTTCTTTCTCAGCAACCACTGAACTAATATAGGTACCTCTACGTTTTTGTATATTTTACTACTAGATTTCTTCGATCATAACAATAAAGAATCCAAACTTTTTGAGAAATTAAAAAAAAACCGACAATGACCAGGAGCCTAAAAAACCATTAGTTCCATCATTCTATGTGGTATGGTTATGGATAAAGGAATTTGGGATTTTGCAGGCGTATTTCCTTAACGTTTTGAAAAAAATGGTTTGTTTCCCCCCTAATATTTTTGTATTTAGGTAGAGATAAAATTGATTGTTTTTCGTATTAACGAAGACATTCCAAAATATTATGCGGTGCATATTGTTGTCGTCCCGTTATTTTGAAAATAACAATTGATTGTTAATTAATAATAATAATAATAATAATAATAATAACACAATACTCCTCTTTCTCAGAAACAACCCACTCGTATTCAACCGAAACGCAACAACCTTAAAAGCACTACAGGCTCACAAAATACTGTAATGTCTCCACCAATAACCCAAGCAACAACACAGATACAACCTCAAGAACAAAGAAACACCATAAATACAAGTAACGCAACATGCACTACAAAGACAGGTCCACCCAATAAAGTTACACGCCCTAGCACAGTTAAAAACACATAACTCCTTCTTCACAGAAACACACCACGTTATCACAACCCACTCGTACTCAACCCAAACGCAAAAACCTAAACAGCACTACTAGCTCACAAAATACAGTAATACCTCCACCAATAACCCAAGCAATAACACAAATACAACCTCAAGAACACCATAAATACAAGTAAGGCAACATGTACCACAAAGACAGGTCCACCCAATAAAGTTACACGTCCTAGCACAGTTAAAAAACACAAAACTCCATCCTCACCGAAGAACACCACGTTATCACAACCCACTCGTATTCAACCAAAGCCAAAGAAACACTTACACAATAAACTCCATTTAATAAAATTACAGGAATTATTATAATGATTTTTGTTTTGTTTTGTTTTCCTCTTTCCTGATAGCGTTGGCTTATTGTGCCCATGTGTGATTTTTATTTATTTATTTTTTTTAGGACCCTACATAACTTCACCAGACACAGACACAGACACTGATCGTTACTTGATTTTAATCCGTGCGATTAGTTAACCAGGCTAGACCTGAGTTCTCACAAGAAACACCGACCATAATAATAATAATAATAATATTTAATTGCCCAACAGTTAATTGCATGTAGCAGGAGTTGGCGTGAGACTTCTTATTCACAAATACTACGGTCGACAGACCAGCTAAATTATACTAAATTATGCAAAGTGCTAATGAAAATAATAAAAACTCATTACGATGATGTTACAAAACCTTACAAAACAACAAAAGTTATCAAACTCGTGCTTTCTATATTTATAAAACATACATTGTCTAAGATTATAGGACGATATCTTTGAGAGACTAGAAGAGGCCGAGTCGAATTTATGCCGAGCATTCGTAGGTCTTATGGTGGGTTTATACAATCATTAACATGAATTCACTATCATTAGATCATTAAGAAACGGTCAATAGAAGCAATGGTAATTGTGCGTCGCTAACCAACAAAACCATATCTTTATTTCTATTGGCTATTTCTTATTATTGTAGTGATAGTGAACTAATGATAATAATTGTATACTTTGTTTGTTGTTTTTCATTTGATAAACGGCTACACCAATGCCGAACGAGGCGAAGGCGAGTTCTGCATAATACGTTGTATATTGTCTAAGATTATAAGACGATATCTTTAAGACTAGAAGAGAGTGAGCTGAATTTATACCGAACTCGCCCTCGGCTCGCTCGCCATTGGTAGGCATTGTCTTCCAGGTCAGATTTTGTCTGCTCGAATTTCTTATTGTCATTTGATAAAAGGCTGTACCAATGCCGAGCATTGTCTAAAGGCTAAATTATAGGGCGATACATTCAAAGACTATAAGAGGCCGAGCCGAATTTATGCCGAACTCGCCTTCGGCTCGCTCGACATTCGTAGACACAGTCTGAAACGGTCAGATTTAGGGAATGCAATCCCGCAGCAATATTTCGATCCCGGTATTTGCGGGATCGTTAGATGTTAATCCCGCGGGATCCCGGTATTTGCGGGATCCCGCATAATTTTAAATGTATTGGGATATAAAGCAATTTTGTGTGGTTAACCGAACATCCTCGCACAAAAAACATAGTATTTCCCGGAAAGAATGCGTCACATCCGCCCTCGTTTCTTATCACTGGTGGTTCCTCCATGTCTATCTGGATTTTTAGAATATTCTCTATAATAGTTCCATATAGCCATTTTACTACTGAAGTCTTTATAAATAATGGACGAGTTCGACAACTTGTCTATAAGAATAACGGTACCTACGTTCAAAACAATAGCAAAATAAGTCAAATTTTCGGACTCGCTAGCTGTTTAACAAAGTTGATAACGTAGGTACAAGTTAGCGCGTAATTATTGCATGAAGCCCAACAACACACTAGTGACATGGTATTGATTTATTTATTTATTTATGTATTTATTGTCCCTATTGTTTTAGACCAGGGGTCGTCAACCTATTGAAACGGAAGAGCCAAAAATTACAATTTACAAAATTTCTTAGTTTTTAAAGAGCCACAAAAAATTGTTGATTCAATATTATAGTATTTGGCTATATACAGGGCCCTGCAACAGTGCATCGGTTTTTCCTACATAGCTGATACCTGGTAACAAATATTGGTGGTTGCGGATCTACAGAAATTATTTTTGAATGTACAGGGTGTCCCATGTTTACGATGTCAATAAATAACTGAACTGTTTAAATAGAACATCCTGCATATTTTTACTTGTTTCAATGCCATTTGTTCAAAGTGCTATAACTATTTTTTTTCAAATGGAACTACCACTATTTTATTTTGCTATTTGATTGTCTTTTGTGTTCTCTTCAATGTTTATAAGGGGTGCTCTGTGCTTAAACCCGCAGTTTTTATGTTATTCAATATTTTTCACAAAAAAAGTACCTACTCATTAATTAATTACGTGTTTATACATCGGAGTAGGCTGCTGTAATAAAAAAACAAAAGAATACCAGAAAGTAAACAAGTGTCACAAATTAGATTTGCTGCAAGTGTACTTTTGATTTCGTAAACAAATAAGATTAATTAAATAGGCGAATTTCGAACAAATAAACTACTTTGTTTAGATAAATTCGGAGAAATTACATGAAAAGAGCCGCATGCGGCTCGCGAGCCGCAGGTCGCCGACCCCTGTTCTAGACAATCTAGACCCTCAACAGGCTTACGCCCAATTACAGAGTGACCCGTATAATGCTTTTTAGAGGTGCCCCTGTAGAAGGTAGCCGGCAGAATGCTCGAAACTGATCTAAGGTAATTTCCATCTCTGCTTCTTGCAGATGATTGGTATTCGTGGCGCAAGGGGTAGCGAAAGATGATTTTAAAGTTCGTAAAAAATAAATGAGAGCGCAGTCGAGGGCCCAGAAATTGGATGGAGAATCAGTAGAAGGTTCTAAGAGATCTAAAGGGCGAAAGAATAGTTCAGGGCGCGGGAGGGGTAAAATGGTGGAGTCTAAGAGACTAAGTCTGCTGTGACTACTATCCTTGGTTTTGGTAGCGCAAGAAGGAACAAAGGGAGACTGAGTTGAGGGTTAAATGGGAAAATGAGTAGAGGTTTGTTGTGATATGCTTCTTCTTGGCATTGATGGAAGTAAACAAAGGAGGGTTTAAACTATGGAAGAGTAGTTGAGGACGCAGAAGAGTTAAATATTATAGAAAATCAGTATAGAGTTGTCATGACATTCTTTGCTTTGCTGCAGGAACGCAAAGGGAGCACAATAAATAACGAAAGAGGACTTTTTGCTCACAAAATCCAGGTAATTGGTAGGTTGGGGTACCCAAACGTCAAAGCCATAAGGTGTTGCACTCAAAAAGGACGAAGTAGATTATTTCGAAAACTGGAGTGTTTGCGACATAGAAAGACGTACTAACGAACAGACGGACAGAGAATGTGGCTGGGACGTCGGAGCTTGTTGAAGATGCAGGATGCGCAGTACTTTTCTAGATCGAGGGGGTTTAACAAATATTATAGATAGTCTGAAGACATGAGTAGTAATGACAGATGAAAAGTGAATTATTCTAATCCCAATACTTTATACACTATTCTATCGTGGGGATCTCCGAAACCATAGAAGATCCGCCAGACAAGCTGAAATGTGTAGTTTTCGATTTTTTTATCTTATTTCACCAGATAAAAAAATATAAAAGCAATTTCTCATTGCCACAATTTGAACTCTACAAGACAGTGTTGAAAGATTTTCAGTATAACGTTTCTTTTCGGAGAAATCATCATCAACTTTATTTTTTATATGGCCCGTAAAAAAAGTACATACTGTATTCCGTAGCATTTCTTATTACGAATACAACGATGGACGGCTCACAAAAAAAACAAAAGTTAGGAACTGTTGATTTCAACAGGATGGCGCACCCGCGCACAACGCCCTAATTGCGCGAAAAAAATTTCTTGGGAAAATGGAAAATTTTCCCGATAATTATTTTCAGACGATTAGGGTGTTGTGCGCGGGTGCACCATTTTGTTGAAACCAACAGGGTTTCAAGCTCTTGTTTTTTTGTACTTTACATCGTTGTATTCGTAATAAAAATACTCAATACAGTCTTTGAATATAAATATATTCAAAGATACAGTGTACACTTTTTTGCGGGCTATATAAAAAAATAAAGTTGACGATTTCTCCAAAATTAAACGTTGTATTTTTTATTATATTATATTATATTTATTAGATTAGTTTCATTGCGCTCATATGCTTTTAAGGGTAATTTTTCGAAAGAAATTCCCTTTATTTAATGGTTTTGTCTGTGCGTCTGTCCGTCCGTCTGTTCCTAATCTAACTCGATAACGAAAAGAGAAACGGCTATGCCAAACCTTCGCCAATCGATTTCTACGAGTTCAAGGATCAGTCCTATTGAATATGAGCCGGATTAAAAGACGTGTTTCCGAATTTACCT